GCCAGAGAGACAGACAGAAAGCAAGAAATCAACCCCTGGGTGACCATGCCGCAATCCCTTCTTCTTCAGTTCTCCTCTAGGGTTCTTGGGCATGCACTCACACACATCCTGCATGAGTTTGAAGACACTAAATCCGGGGCTCTAACTGCAGTTGACTATGTGGGAGATCAGCAATGTAACCATTACGCCACCTGCTGGTCCTGAACATCTTTTTACCGATTCATTTGCTATTAGTATATTCATTCTATGGGAATTTCCTATTAGTATCCTTTGCTCTCCATCCTCCCTTTTTAAATTGGGCTATCTTCCTTTATTAAAAAAAATTAGTAGGCGGTTCCTTATATATTTTGTGTGTGTTTATCACACACCACACTCACACAGTGCACTAGTGTCCTATTGGTCATGTGTTGCAGGTTTGACTGAACCAGATCTTTTGAGAGGCAGGGCAATTTTAGTTCCATGTTGTCTGCACCATCATATAAATGTCTCTCTGAAATAGCCCCAGGGATAACTGATCCGAAATAAATTTTTATCTAAGTTCTTACTTTGGGATGGGGTGGAAAATGGTGATGTTTCTCAGACCACATAGGAAGTGTATACATTTCATTTCTCTAATTCGCATGAGGTACAAGCCCAGGATTTAGAACTCTTGAGACTCCTCTTTTCTTTTTTTGCCAGCTGAGTAGGTTTTTGATATATTCCCTCCTTTCACTAAGGCTGTTGCTCTTTTTTTTTTTTTTGAGATTTTTTTTTTTTTTTTTTGCTATAGGGCACGTGCGCTTGCCAGACAGAGAGAGAGAGACAGAGAGACAGAAAGAGAAAATCACCCCCCAGGGGGGATGGCCACGCAACAATCCCTTCTCCTCCATTCTCCTTTCGGGATCTTGGGCATGCACGCACATGCGCCCAGTGTGAGTTTTAAGCCACTGGGTCTGGGACTCGAACCGCGGTCGACTACATGGGAGTCCAGCGACATAGCCATTACGCTAACTGCTGATCCCAAGGCTGTTGCTCTTTCAGGTCTTAGTTTGGTTCCTACATGGAGCCAGCCTCATCTCTTATCAGTGTTAAAACCCAGTCCTTGGAGCTGACAGGTGGCGTTGTGGTTAAGGCACTGGACTCCCACATGGCCTATTACTGTTTGAGTCCTGGACCTGGCAGCTTGCTTCTCATTCCACTCCCTTCTCTGCCTCTGTCTAGTCAAATTAAAAAATAATAATGAAGCCAAACAAATAATTCTTTACACACACAAAAAAGCCCAAGTCCTTAGAGTTATGTTTAGCAATTGCATGGTTTAAGTCCCAGATCCAGCAGCTTTGAGAAAAACTGGGTGCATGTGTATGTGTGTGTGTGTGTACGCACACCCAAAGTCCCCAAAGGAAGGGAGATGGAGGAGAAGGGATTGCACCTCCCAGAGAAGGTGTTTTCTATTTTCCCTCTCTGTCTCTCTGGTGAGTATATGTATCCTCTGGCAAAATAAAATAAAAAATAAACTTTTAAAAATCAAGACAATGGGTTTGGCTCATTAGCTGTTTGACTTTAGGCATATTAGCCTCTTGCTTCCTCTTGTTTATCATAAATAAGTGTTTAACACAGTGTATATATGAAAAGTTATATGTTAGCTATTATTACTTTTATTATCATACCCCTTGGTTGTGGTATAATAATAAAAGTAATAATTTTTATCAGATTAACTCTGCCAACTAACCCAGAATGTATTAACAAAGCAATTGTTCAATTTTTTTTTTTTTTTTTTTTGGTTATAGGGCGTGTATTCTTGCCAGACAGAGAGACAGAAAGTGAGAAATCAACCCCCAGGGGGGATGGCCCCGCTGCAGTCCCTTCTCCTCCATTCTCTTCTCGGGATCTTGGGCATGCATGCACATGCGCCCAGTGTGTTTTAAGCCACTGGGTCCGGGACGTGAACCACAGTCGACTACATGGGAGTCCAGCGACATAGCCATTACGCTAACTGCTCGTCCCCAATTGTTCAAATTTTAAAAGGCAAAATACGTATCTTAGGATCAGATGGTGGCATAGCAGGAAAACACTAAACCCTGTGAGGTTTACCCATGAGACAAGGTACATAGTTCATGGCTCCAAGACATTGTTGGGGGTGCTGTCTTTTGTCTCTCTTGTTTATGGCAGAAATAAATAAACCTTAAAGAACTTAACTTGGGCTTTGGGGCCAGTAGGTGGTGTAGTGGTTATGGCACTGGACTCCAACATGGCCAACTGTGGTTCAAGTCTCGGACCTAGTGGTTTGCTTTCTCACTTTCCCTTTTTGTCTCTCTCTGGTCAGATTAAAACAAAGATGAATAATAACAAATAAAGTTAAATAATTTTTTAAAAAGTAAGAAAAAACTTAATTTGGCTTTCAAAAGCATTTTCATTCATCTTTTACAATGACTATGGGACCAGTAGTTGGTGTAATGGCTATGACGCTGGACTCCCACGTAGTCGACTGTGGTTTGAGTCCTGGATCTGGTGGCTTAAACTCATGCCGGGGACATGTGCGTGTGTGCCCAAGATCCCGAAAGGAGAATGGAGAAGGGACTGTGGTGTGGCCATCCCCCCTAGGGGGTGATTTCTCACTTCCTGTCTCTTTGTCTGTCTTTCTGGTGAGCACATACACCCTATAGCAAAAAAACTCTCAAAAACAAAACAAAACAAAACAAAACAAAACAAAAAAAACCCAAAAAACAATGACTAGTCTATTCAACAATATGGCAAGTTGAAGAACTAATTGTAAGACCTTACTTTTAGTACTCCTGATGAGCTCTGAGCAAATAACTCATGTAGAGCCCAGCCACAGCGATATAGGTGGTATAGCTCTGCATGATGCTGGAGCAACTTAGGAGGTCTGGGTTCAGGTCCTGGATCAACCTGAATACACCTGAAGTGCCTGCTGTCCTGGCTGGCTGGAGGTTTCAGGGAGGACTGTGGTATGGTAAGACCCTGCATAGGGTCCGTGTCTCTCTCTCACTAGGTTAAAAAAAAAAAAACCAAACTGTAAAAGCTTAAAAAAAAGAAAAAGACTACTTAGAATTTAATTTTCCCATGCTTCATAGTAAGTCTTTTAAAATCCAGGCTCTTAGTAATGTAAGTGTACTAAGGTCAGTATCTCTAATGTCAATGAATATCAAGTGAGTTTCTGATTCTTATTAGAATAACAACTTATTTCTAACCATTTTGACCCATCTGCCTGACATGAAGCTCTCCACATTTTTTTTTTTTGAGAGGTTTTTGCTATAGGGAGCGTGCGCTCACCAGACAGAGAGAGACAGAGAGACAGAAAGTGAGAAATCACCCCCCAGAGGGGATGGCCACGCCGCAATCCCTTCTCCTCCATCCTCCTCTCGGGATCTTGGGCACGCATGCACACACAACTGGCGTGAGTTTAAGCCACCGGGTCCGGGACGTGAACCGCGGTCAACTACGTGGGAGTCCAGCGACATAGCCATTACGCTAACTGCTGGTCCCTTTCCCACATGTTTTAATGTAGATTTAGAGCATCTGGAAATAGTTTGATAACCTGAATATTCACTAAATGGAAAATTTTCTGAGAGATGAATACTAGGTAATTTTGCCAAGACCTAAACTAGAGTAAAATCTGGATTAGGATGACTTTCTCCATGAACTACAAGAGGAAACAGAACTAAAAGAGAAAAATCTGCTCGGGCTCACTTATCACAACCTCAAAATGTTAATTGGCAATCTCTACATTGAATAAAACGGAAAACAAGACATCTAGTGAAAGGTGCCTTAGCTTTTCAACCAGAGCCTTTGTTGTTTTCACTGTATACATGCTTTTACCTGCTCACCCACTATACGTGTTTAATTTTTTTCTTAAAACATAAAGCCCTGGGCCAGCTGGTGGCATGATGGTTAAGGAGACTGCATCCCATGTGGATGATTGTGCTGTTTGAGTTGTGGGCCTGGAAGCTTGAAAAACATGCCAGACATCTGTGTGCATGCATGTCCAAAATTCTGATGTTTTAATGTAGATTTAGAGCATCTGGAAATAGTTTGATAACCTGAATATTCACTAAATGGAAAATTTTCTGAGAGATGAATACTAGGTAATTTTGCCAAGACCTAAACTAGAGTAAAATCTGGATTAGGATGACTTTCTCCATGAACTACAAGAGGAAACAGAACTAAAAGAGAAAAATCTGCTCGGGCTCACTTATCACAACCTCAAAATGTTAATTGGCAATCTCTACATTGAATAAAACGGAAAACAAGACATCTAGTGAAAGGTGCCTTAGCTTTTCAACCAGAGCCTTTGTTGTTTTCACTGTATACATGCTTTTACCTGCTCACCCACTATACGTGTTTAATTTTTTTCTTAAAACATAAAGCCCTGGGCCAGCTGGTGGCATGATGGTTAAGGAGACTGCATCCCATGTGGATGATTGTGCTGTTTGAGTTGTGGGCCTGGAAGCTTGAAAAACATGCCAGACATCTGTGTGCATGCATGTCCAAAATTCTGAGAGAAGAATGGAGGATAATGGATTGTGGTGGGATTGTTCCCCATGGAGAGTGCTTTTTAGTCTCTGAGAGCGCATACCCTCTGGCAAATTAAAACAAACCAAAGCATAAAGCTCTAAAATGTAGGCACACTGGCTGACTCTTCCCAGCATGTGCAAAAAGGAAAATTTGGGGGCCAGCGGGTGGTAGTGATTAAGGCACTGGACTCCTACATGGCCAACTGTGGTTCCTCCCAGACCTGGTTGTTTGAAGCTCATGCTGGATATGTGCATGTGCCCAAGATTCCAAGAGAACGAAGGAGAAGGGAAGGGACTGCGATGTGGCCATCCCCACTGGAAGATGATTTTGTGCTTTCTGTTTCTGGTGAGCGCACATGCCCTAAAAAAAAAAAAAAAAAGAAAAAATTGAGTGCCTAGGGCTTCCTGAGTCAGACCCCCATATTCTTAATTATTTTATGGATTCAGGAAATATGGGGCAGAGTCACTAAAGAGGTTGAGACACTAGAGGAGGGTTGAAGCACTTTTAATCACATAAGAGTAAACAATAGTATAAAAACCATTAACAGCTCACCCAGTCAGTGGCTGTTGTCCTCCAGCCCTCAGCTCCTCCCCTCCCGCCCTCCCTATGTACCGTGGAGAAAGGAGCAGGGTATCAGCAGCTGTCCCTGTCACTATCAGGAGGTAGGAAGGGGATCTAGCTAGGGACTATAGCAATCCTGGCCATCTATCCATGTTCTCTGTTTCTATACAACTTCATGTGAAATATTCCAGCTCCAAAAGAGGAACAGTGCAGAAACCTGGACCTGAACTTGGCTGCTGCATTCAGATGGTCCAGGGCAACAAGAGAGGATAGTCTGGAGCCAGCATAATTCAAGATGCAGCCAAGTCTGGGACTGAGGTGGTTCAAAGGGGACAACGCCCTAGTACAGAATTGTGCCCCAACCCAGGCCAAGAAACTCATGCATATGCACAAATGCACACCCACAAGTGTACACACACACACACACACACACACACAGAGCAAATAATATTACTGAAAGGACCTGGAGGCTATTAAATACAAAACGGCAAAGTTTTTTTAAAAAAGTGAAAATATTTGCTTCTTTGATTCTCAGTGCCCTGTAGGCCCCCCTAGTCATACAAGTGTAGACGTGGTGAGGTCCAAGGGAATAGGTTGTCAGTGGCCCTGTAAGTCCACCTATGCTCAAGTCCCCATACCAAGCACTTTACTGTTCGGCCCAGTAGTTGCCTCCCATGTGACCATTCAACCGGTTGGCACCATTGCTGGAGTTGTTGCCACAAGGGCTTTTTGTGCAAGCAGTCACATCTTCGTCCTCTGAGCTGCTTTCCACATCACTGCGATCATCCTTAGACACCTGGATGGCATGGGACCAAAGGGAGGAATGAGGACACAAGTTTTCCAGAGAGAATGCCAAGACAGACTAAGCCCACGGAGCCCATGTTTGGACACTGGTTCCGACCTGGTCTACTTTCTGCTGACGCCCGACTCAGCATTATTTGGACCATGGCTGCTACTGTGAATATCTCTTGCCTGCTTTCTGGTTTTCTCTCATTCTCTGATTTTGTTCTCTATGGAACAGATGGTGCTTTGGTTATCTTTGAGGAACAGCCTAAGAGAACCAACATCATTCACTGAGACCTGGTTTAGGTTTGAGGGAACTCTAGATACCGTTTTTTCTCTTCCACCTCAAAAAACAGGTGGAAGAACTATATAAACAAGACAGATGCCTGTGTCTTTCTGACGACTATAGCAAGTAAAAAATAAATTAAATAAATAATTCTTAAAAACAAAAACAAGCCACAGGGAAGGCCTGGGTTCAGGTCTAAGGTGACCTGGCCATGCCCGTTGCGCCTACACATGAAAGTGAACCTGGCTGGGAGGCTGGTGAGAGGATCATGGCTCGGTAAGGCTCAGGATACCTATCTCCTCCCTTTCTGCCCCAAGAAATAAACAAACAAACTTAAAAAAGAAGAAAAAAAAGTAAATGAGAAATTGGATAAAAAGAAACAAAGCTATAATTACTGTGCCAAGGAGGTGTTCTGGATCAGCTCTGTGGTTTTATAGTTAATTATAGTTGTTGACCTCTGAACCCAGATAACTAAATGACTACCTGATCTTTAGGAAATTTCCACCACAGGGTAGAGTGCCTCTAGATTTGAGGTAAAGGGAGGGTCAAAAAGAGGGAAGAAGACAAAAAAAAAAAAAAAAAGTAGACTCAACTCTTGCCTCAATTTTGGAAAAGAATCTGGCAACTTCAGCTCCAGTTCACAATTGCCCCACAAGGTCAGGAGAGGTCGTACTCTGAGACGAACACAGGGGAACAGGAAAGAGCAGGAAGGAAGAGAAATACATTCAGACAGACATGCTTCTCTGAGTACTAGAAGCGGACTTACATGCAAGAGATGAAACTGTCCAGCTCCCACCAGGCATAGAAAAAAGGAAGGAGGTGAGAAAAGAGTGAAGAGTACAGAGTCTGGATCTAATCCTTCCTGGATAGGTCACCTGGTCAGGAAAGAAAAGCAGGGGAGAACAGAGATGTCCAGTAGCTATGGCAAGATGCATGGGCATATTGAGCAAGTTCTGAAACCAACTGCAGCCATAGGAACAATGACATAAGAGATTATAGATGCCTAGATCACATCCCATCCATCTGTCCTAGTTCACACCTCCTCTTGGGATTGATTCTGTATTACTTTTTTTTTTTTTTTTGGAGAGGTTCTTGCTATAGGGCATGTGCGCTAGCTAGACAGACAGAGACAGAGAGACAGAAAGCGAGAAATCACCCCCCAGGGGGGATGGCCACGCCGCAATCCCTTCTCCATTCTCCTTTCAGGATCTTGGGCACACACGCACATGCGCCCGGTGTGAGATTAAGCCACCAGGTCTGGGACTTGAACGACGGTCGACTACATGGGAGTCCAGCGACATAGCCATTATACCAACTGTTGGTCCTGGGATTCTGTATTACTAACGGCTGGAATTCCTGGCTTTCGGGTTAACAAGTTTGATGGCTGGAGAAATTACAAAATTTAATTATGAATTTTATTATTCAATGGCACCTTTCTTTGTGCTTTTGGGCTCTTAGTCCAAAAAGATGGGCATTGGAAACACTAAGTACCCACTCACTCAGGATTCTTGCCTCACACAGCCATAAGTGAAGCAGTACTTCCTTATGGAAACATATCTTTTTTTTTTTTTAAGTTTTTGCTATAGGGCAATGTACTTGCCAGAGAAAGAGATGGGGAGAAAGAACAGTGAGAAATCACAACCCAGTGGAGATGGTCATGCCACATCCCTTCTCAGTCTTCTTGAGATTTTGGGCACATACACATATACAAACTAAGTTTCAAGCTGCAGGGTCTAGGACTCAAACCATGGAGTTGGCCATGTGGGATCCAGCACCTTAGCCTTCAGGCTACCTACTGGCTCCATAAACATACCTTGAATATTCTGGCATGGTGGTCTTGGGTGGCTTGTGAACTACCACACCACTCCTGGGCAACATAGCAATTTATTTTTTTTTATAGCTTGTATCTTGGGACTCTGCAAAAAATTTCCTTTGGGGAAAAAAGCTTTCATGCTAAAAACAAAACTATGAAATCCACTGAAGTAGGTAGGCCAGCAGTAGGAAATGGTTGAGGCCATCTCTAAAATTCTTAACTACTCGTTCTTTAATAAAAGTCATTCTTAAGAGAAAGATGGTAAATCCTTCCTCGTGGACCTAAACCACATCTTAAAAGGCTAAACATTCAAAGAGAAAGCAAACACTCTAGGCATTTATTTGGTCTTCTTGTATAGACGGGACTCACTAGGCTAGATGGAGAGAGAAGATCTGTTTAGTAATTCCACTCTTCCCTCACAGCCCAAAGAGAGAAGCCATTTTCATTCTCACCTTTCCCCGGATCAAGGCTTTGAAAGCAATTCGTGCAATTAGGTAGGACCAGATGACATGCAAAACCTGCAGGATCAGGAGAAGGCCATTGAAAAGCCACCAGGAAGGGTAGGGCCCAATCATCTCCCAACTCTCGAAGAGGGTGGTATTCAGAATCCTAGAAGAGGAAGACCGATAGTCAGGTTCTAGAGTAAAAGCCAGGTGGACCACCAGGGCATGGCGGTGTATGCTTGCAATCCCACTTACTCAAGAGACTATGGCAGGAGCATTGAAGTCAGTCTGGGCAACACAGTGAGACCCTGTCTCAAAACAAAAACAACACAAACAAAAAATCCTAGGCAGACAGGGATCACTACGATGCACAGCCCTGTGTGCTTCCTCCCTACACTTTGTATCAGTTAAAGTTCCAGAAATATTCATCTGCAATGAGAGCATAATAAAGAAAGAGAGAAGCCTTTTTTTTTTTTTTTTTTTTTAGGGGTTTTTTCTTTTGGTTTTTTGAGAGGTTTTTGCTATAGGGCGTGTGTGCTTGCCAGAAAGACAGAGAGAGACAGAGACAGAAAGCGAGAAATCACCCCCCAGGGGGGATGGCCATGACGCAATCCCTTCTCCATTCTACTCTAGGGATCTTGGGCACGCACGCACACATTCCGGGCGTGAATTTAAGCCACCAGGTCCAGGACTCAAACTGCGGTTGACTACATGGGAGTTCAGCGACATAGCCATTATGCTAACTGCTGGTCCCAGAAAGAGAGAAGCCTTCTGCTAGGGGAAGAAATACAAATCTTGGGAACTGATGGACTAAATCACATCATTAATCATGTGCAATATGCAGAGATTCACAAAACTGAGACAGCAATAGGATTATAATCCTAGGAATGACTCAGATTCTCAGCACACTCCTGCAGACAAAGCAAAATCCCCAATTCACAGAGCCAGTGACTTTGTACCATCAAGTAGGGAGTGTAGAAGTGAAAGGGGTATGTGTGTGGCAGAAGGTCAGAGTAGGGAAGAGGGTACAGAGCAGGGGTACAGCAAGAAAGGCTTGAGAATTCTATAATCTGTACAAGTGAAGGCAGAGGAATTACTTAGACATAAAAATGAGAACAGTTCCTCAGAGATGAGCCAGGAAAGCCAGAAGCCAAGTGAGCTGGATACTCTGGGTCTGGATCACACCTCGTTAGAATCACTGCATAAGGCAGCTGAGGTCCTGTTAGAGTCCACAAAGGGTCAGCTGTGGCCAAGGTAAAAGCTGGACAATAGGATTCTTGGTGTTCTATGGCAAAAATAGAATGGAATAGAAAAATGGAATTGGCAAAAATAAAGCTGGCCAAAGGTATCATCGGCTACATACCTATCGGAGCTTCACAGCCCTAGCACTTACCAGAAAGGATAGATCCCTAGACGAGTGACCACAAAGACAGCACTGAAGATCACGAAAAGGGTGTCACAGAGCCGCTGATACTTGGCATAATTGGCTAGCTTGGCTGCCTGGAAAAAAGGAGATAAGAATTGAGTTGGAGAGGAAGTTCTGCCACCGGAGAGAAAGAGGAATGATGAGGAAAGAGAAGCTGGGTTCTTACCTCCAGCAAAAAGTCTGAGGCATCATGTAGACACATGACCAGAGTTCCCACCCGGACCATGTTGTTGACGTAGGAGAAGGTGATAAGCCCAATGGTGGCCAAGTGATGCACAAACATAAGGAGGAAGTCCTAAGGAATGGTAATAGAAGAGGCAGGTGAAGGCAAGGCCGGAGAAAAGCTAGCTAAGCCAGTATCCTGCACTAGTCTCCGAAGATCTTACTCCACCCTAATGGTTTTATTCTGCTGGACTCCCCCTGAGGGAGCTGCTGGGCATTTAACCCAATACTCTACATCAGTCAGTGGTCTATGGTCTGATAATATAGCTCAAAGTAAATACAAGCAATTGTCTTTGGTAATTCCAGAATGTGGAGCTTTTTTGCCGACACTTAGGAACAGTTTCTCAGGTGGTGGTGGAATATATAAGCCTTAGAGATTGCTGCGATTCTTTTTCGTTTGTTTGTTTTAATTTTTGCCAGAGGATATGTGTGCTGGGGAGGGGGTGGGGGGTGGGATAGGAAGAGGGACCAGAGAGAGATAGAAAGTACCCTTTGTGGGGAATGGTCACACTATAATCCTCTCTTCCTCCCTCCCTCCCCTCCTTCTTCCCTCCCTTCCTCTCTCTCTCTCTCTCTCTCTCTCTCTCTTTCTTTCTTCAGTTTTTGCCATAGGGCTTATCCATCCCCAAGGAGAGAGAGGGAAATTGAGGAATTATCCCCCTAGGGGGATGGCCAAGCTACAAACCCTTTTCCCTTCCCTCCCTTTCTTCTTTTTTTTTTTTCCTTTTCTTGTCTTTCTTTCTTCTCTCTTTTCTCTCTCTCTTTACCTCTCTCTCTCTTTCTTTAATTTGACCAGAGAGGGACAGAGAGAGAGAGAGAGAAAGTGAGAGAGCAAGCTGCCAGGTCTGGGACTTGAATTGCTGCCAGCCATGTGGGAGTCCAGAGCCCTTAACCATCACGCCACCTGCTGGCCCACCCAGCATGTTTTTCAAACCACGAGTCTGAGACTTGAAGTACACAACTGGCCATGGCCATGTAGAAACCACTGTACCATGGGCTGGTCCTATTCCTGAGATTCTTTTATTTATTTATTTTTTTAGAGAGAGATTTTTGGGTGTCTGTGCTGGCCAGAGAGAGAAAGAAAGCGAGAGATTACCACCACCACCACCACCACCCCAGGGGGAATGGCCACACTGTAATGTGTGGAGAATGGCCGCACTCTTCTCTTCCAGTTTCCTCCAGGGATTTTGGGCATGTATGCACACATGCCCAGTGTGAGTTTTTGTTTTTGGGTTTTTTTTTTCTGAGAGGTTTTTGCTATAGGGTGCATGCGCTTGCCAGAAAGATAGAGATAGACAGAGATAGACAGAGATAGACAGAGGGGCAGAAAGCGAGAAATCTCCCCTAAGGGGAGATGGCCACACAGCAATCCTTCTCCATTCTCTTCTCGAGATCTTGGACATACATGCAGACGCGCCCGGCGTGAGTTTAAGCCACTGGGTCTGGGACCCGAACCATGGTTGACTATATGGGAGTCCAGCGACATAGCCATTACGCCACCTGCTGGTTCCCCCCGTGTAAGTTTTAAGTTGCTGGGTTTGGGACTCAAACCTCAGTCAACTACGTGGGAGTCCAGCAACATAACCATTACTCCATCTGCTGGTCCCCCTATTCCTGAGACTCTAAAGCTCTTCTGGCTTTTCTTTACAAGTTTATCAAATTTTTTCATGATAGAAAGTACATGTATGTGGTTGAAGTGGGGAGAGAAAGGAAGTGCCACTGATAAGTGTCTCATTATGCTATGACCCTCTTTTCCCAGCCCTCCAGCTCATAAGGATCCTGGGTACATGTGCTTGGTACATTTTCAGGCCAACCCACTTGGATCCAAATCGCTGTTGATCAAGTAGTTTCCAGCATTGCTATTTAGTTCACCACTGACTGCACCACCAGCGTGTGCCCTTTTCTGCTTTAATATTTCAGCCAAAGGGAACTAAGTGAAAGGAAAGGTTTCAGCCAGCAGGTGGCATAGTGATTAAGGCACTGGATCCTGAGAAACACACAAGGCATGTGTACATGAGTGCCAAAATCTCAAGAGGAGAATGGAGAAGGGACTGCAGCATGGCCATCTCCTATGGGGAGTGATTTCTCACTTTCTCTCTTTATGGTTTGTAAACGTACCCTATGGCAAAAATCTAAAAAAAAAAAAAAACAAAAACAAAAGATGAGGTTTGTGGAGGGGCACAAAGCTAAACTCTTCCCCAAGGTTTCAAAGAAAGGCACAGGAATTAATCCTTATCTCAAGTATCTCCTGCTTACAGATTTAAGGCTCCAATTTCTTCTCAGGGTCAAATGCCAAGGATAGACCCGGAGAAATAGCTAAATACTTATGTATTAGTATTTTTCAGCCCAATGAGGAACAGACAATGGAGGAAGGCAAGTGAATTAGGTCAGGAAACAAGGATGAAAAATCTGTGTTCTCTACATAGATATAATGGTACTAATGGTGTTCTACTGGGTCATTGGAAAAGTCATGACCCATTTTTACATAAGTTCCTATGTTAGACAACAGTAACAACCCAGATTAGTTTCATTCCATTTCCACAAATGCTAACCCTGGTTTTGCTCATGAAAGGTGACTAAAAGTTAGTAATAGATTAGTACTAGAGTTACTGCATCCACATTATGTCAGGTGGACAGCAGTGAAAAGGTTTAGATTCTGCCCTTCTTATGTAAAACTTAAGTCATTCCTTGGGCCAGTCCACGGCCTGATGGTTACAGGACCTGGATCCCACATGGCCCACTGAGCAATGCAAGTCCTGGACCTGGTGGCTTTCCTGGTGGAAAACACATTGAGCCATATGCGTGTGTGCCCCAAATCCCAAGAGTGGGAAGAAATGAAGAAAGGATCAAAGGGACCAGCAGTTAGCGTAATGGCTATGTCGCTGGACTCCCACGTAGTCGACTGCGGTTTGCGTCCTGGACCTGGTGGCTTAAAACTCACGCCGGGCGCATGTGCGTGTGTGCCCGAGATCCCTAGAGGAGTACGGAGGAGAAGGGATTGCAGCGTGGCCATCCCCCCTGGGGGGTGATTTCTCACTTTCTATCTCTCTGTCTCTCTGTCTGGCGAGCGCACGCTCGATGTCTGACAAGAAAAAAAAAGCCTCGTCAAAAAAAAAAAAAAAAAGGCTCACAGAGTTATCATGACCCACTGGAGGATGCTTTCCTCTCTCTGGCAATTTTTTAAAAAAATAATTTTTAAACTTAATTTTTCTTATTAATTTTTTTTTATAGGACACAAGCACCAGAGAGAAAGAGAGAGAAAGTGAGAAAGCAAGGAGCTAGGACTGGGACTTGACCCGTAGTCAGCCATGTGGGAGTCCAACACTACACTACTTGCTGGCCCCCTCTGGCAAAATTTTAAAAAATAAATCAATAAATTGGGGCCAGCAGGTGGCATGGAAGTTAAAGCTGCCAGATCCCATATGGTTGGCTAAATAGTTTGAATCCCAGGCTTGGTGGCTTTGGCTTGAAAATTATGCTGCAGGTGTTGGGGTGGTGGGGTCGGGGTGGGCAACAAATTGCATAGATGTTATGTGACTGGACTCCCACATGGTCGACAAAGGTTCAAGTCCTGGACTTGGAGGCTTGAAACTCATGTCGGGCATGTGTGCGTGCATGCCCAAGATCCTAGAAGGAGAATGGAGGAGAAGGGATTATAGTGTGGTCATTCCCCTGGGGGGTGATTTCTCACTTTCTATCTCTCTGTCTCTGTCTATTTGGCAAACACATACACCCTATAGCAAACAATCTCTCTACAAAAGAATAAACAAATAAATAAAAAATAAAACTTGAGTCATTTTCAACTCTATCACCATGTGGGTAAGTCAACCCACTTCTCAGAATCTTTGTTTCCTAAACAAAAGCAGGAAGAGCATAAACTATATCATCTAAAAGTCCTTCCAGTTGACATTCTTTGGCTAAGTGGGTAACCAAAAAAGGGAGAACAGAGAGAGCCAGGGTTCCAAATGCCATACAAAAGCCAGACCCAGCTTTTCTACAATCAGGCCTTTTCCTGAATCAAGTCTTGATATTCTCATGTTCTGACTAGTTTCCTGAGTTTTAAATTTATAAGAACTTGGAGAAGAATAAGCAATAGAGTGTGCGTCTTAGCCAATTAACTGTTCTCAACATAAGCTGTCCTAAATGTCTTAAATATACTTCATCATTAGTTTAAGTCTCATTTTTCCGGAACATTATAGTAATGGTAGCTGCCAGAATGGAGGATGCAATAAGTTAAGGAGTTGAGGGAGCCAATGTTCTTACCTTTCTTTTAATGTCTGTAAACTGAGAAAACATAAGAGACCAGTAGAAGGCCAATTCCATGATATAATAGTAATAGAGCCCACTTGAGAGAGGCTGGAAGAGAGAAGAAGTAGTTAGAATACCAGTTAGTGAAAGGTACTTCTGTCCTGGCAACTTTGTCTTGGAGAACCACCACCCAAATTATTAAGACGTCTTTCATCCCCATCATCTCCCAAGATCTGCAATAGCTAACATACTTTGGATTGGATTAAACTTTTCCTTTTATCCCTCCATATATATATATATATATCTTCTGTTCTCATCTTTTAGAGATGAAATAGGTTAATTAATAGATATTATGGCACAATCAAATCAGTCTGTCTAGAATTCTGGACAATTAGTGCTTTTTACAAGATGAAACACACACAGGCCTGCCCCTTCCACCCCTTTAACAGTTCCCTGACATTTTTCTAGTGTATATTGGAACCAAGACACTCTTAAGTGGATTCCAAGATGTCCTTGATACAAAAGGCCACCTGAACCAGCACCTCATTAAGTGCCAGAAAACGGCTTTCTTTCCAGCCCAATACCTGGACCAAAAAGCTCACTGGAGTTCACTGCTATGGTGGGAGTGGGAAGCAGAAATAGATGCTATGAATATATGACTTAGAGGGGTTCGGCCCCTACTACCTCAAGAATACCAAGGAAATGTGCCATTTGTCCTGGAACTGGCACTGTACTCTAAGCACACCACCTTACACATCCAGGGCTACTATCCTCAACAGCTCCTACCTGATACGGGTAGCTATGCCAGCACTGCCGGGTGTCCCAGAACCAAGGTGCCTAAGAGGAAACATAATTCAGGTCAGCCTTCAGGATTCTTACCTGGTTTCAAAACCCACCCCCATCTAATCTTCCTTTTCAGAGAAAAGAGAAGACACAGTTTAGGGATCTCTAAAGGATCAGAAAAATGCCTAAATTTTTCTTCTATAAAGTGTTAATACAAATAGAAACACAATTCTTCAAGGTAAATAGAGCAGAAAAAGCTCTAGGACAGTTTTAGGAAACACAACCACCTGCGATGTAAGAAATATAGAGGCACGGGAACCAGCAGTTAGCGTAATGGCTATGTCGCTGGACTCCCACGTAGTCAACCGCGGTTCGCGTCCCGGACCCGGTGGCTTAAAACTCACGCCGGGTGCGTGTGCGTACGTGCCCAAGATCCCGAGAGGAGAATGGAGGAAAAGGGATTGCGGCGTGACCATCCCCCTTGGGGGGG